GAAGTCATCCTTGGGGTTCCAGAATTTGAAGCAAAAACAAGAAATTTCACGGAGTTGTGCAAATCAGAAGAAAAAATAGAACACGCAGTTACAGTAGCAAATGCTATAGAATATAATGAAGAAGCAACTAATTCAAGCGATGTATTTCAACGAATTACAGTTCAAGGGACAGTTGAGCAGTGCACGAAAATCATTACTGATGAGGTTGAACCTCAGATTGACGTCGATGCACAGTCTGCTTCAAGTGAAAGTGTCACGGGAAATATTGTTTGGAGAGGTCAAATGGATCAGTGACTGATGCAATGATGTTTCAGAAAAAACGACCATTCAAAATTGTATGAATTTGCAGCCAACTGCTGAAAGTTCCATTACGTAATAATGGAACTTTTCTTTTTGGAAAAGAGTTGAAATAATTCTTTGCAAGTTCGACAAGTGTTAGCAGCCTTATCGCCTTATGGTTCTTCGATTTATATGCCAATCAGAACTTCTTTTCATGTCTGAGGTCAGAGGTTAATTGTTGCTTTAAATACACACATGCATACCTCCTTGGAAAAACAAAACCAATCAATATAGAAAAGAAAAGAAATTTTTTAATTTTTCACACGTTAATTTCTTATTTTTTCCTTTTAGATTCAGCAGATTTATTTAGGAATGATGGAGCATTGTTTATCACAAGCTCACTGTCAGAACATTGAAACTATTGAATACTGTTCCCACGAAATCAAAATCAACGAATATGAACTTAAATATTTTCATTTTAGAGGACAAAGCGAAGAATTACTGTTTGATCTTTCGGCTACTGATCTATCTGATTCTAAATATTTGAACTTCATGAATTAAAAATATATCTCACATTACCATAACTGAAAAATTCGCCACTTCCTTTGTTTTTTTCGCTAAGATAATCAGTTTTTTTGGTGATCCAATCTTGTTTTCATTATGCCACATGGCTTTTATTGATTGATCAATAAAATCGATCATGAGCTATTATTGAGATTATTAAATTAGTTCCAAAAAAAAATGAACTATTGATTTTTTGAAAACGTTTCATATCAATCCATTTTTGCAAATTTTTCTGGTTAATCTGCGCCTTTCTCCAATGATGTAAGGAAAGGCGCTGTTGGCTTCCAAACAAAATCTGTTACAATGAAATCGATTTTTGCTGATCGTCGCTCACCACAGTCAACGATGATTTTAATTTCATTTCCGGTCTGAGGTAAAATTTTGCTCCATTTTCGCCTTATTACCTTTTTTCTTACAAATATGACATAATATGTATTAATATGAAGTATTTTCATAGTGCGCAAACAAACAACTGTAATTTGAAATTGGATGAAATATATTTTATAATTGGAATATCAAGTACAACTCTTATATATATATATATATTTTTTTCTTTCTTTATTGTTGGCTGAAGCAGTATCGTTAACATTTCTTCGGATTACTATCCATATTTAAAACTATATTCAATATGTAATAGTGCTATTCATTTAAAATACATTCATGTATAGCCAAATCGGTTTTAAAAATGAAAAATCATAAAATTATTTTTAATCTTTAGAATAATTGGGAAATTACAGTTTTGTTGGAAGAGGAAAAACTTCCAAATATTAACAAACCGATGTTGTGATCGAAACCATTTTTGTTATAAAAAAGAAGATATATAGCAAACAAACTTTGAAGTTAAAAACACTTTAAGCAATGAGTCATATGAGAATTTTGCATTTTTTTATCTTTTAATTGTGCGTTGTGCAAACATTGAATGATTCAAATGAAAATGTTTAGGACAACATGAAAGGATGAATTGAATTTTAACTTAGATCTATCCATGTAAATGAGTTAATGGAATTGTGTGTAACAGTTGTTTCTTTTTGGTTTACGACAAGATAACCAGTGGTTGTTATTCATGTGTATCTCTGAGAAGTTAATGTTTAACCGGATCCGATACATATCTCTACCGAGTATTGACCATTGATAACACTATACTTGATTATTTGTAGATAGTTTGTCATATAATTATTTGTGGATAATTTCAAAAAAGAAATTGTCCACAAAAAAAATAAATTATCCACAAATAAATTATTCACAAAGAAAATAAATTATTCACAAATAATTTGTGGATAATTTCATATTTATTTGCTGTTTTATGAAATCTCGCAAACAAGTTGAACAATTCCTTAATCATATAAGCATATTTGATAATATAACCTGGAACGATTCGAGAGTGACCTTACCACATCAAAAAATTAATCTTATCATTCCTGAAGAATGAAATCGTAATCACCATCAAAAGAGCAAACAAAGATTGAATTAGGAGAATTTTTTTCCTGTTTTAGAAATATTAATTAAAATGAAAAAGTCCGATCAAATTAACGAAATTCGAATCTGTTTTTCTTTCTTTGCAAAAGCAAAGCTGTTCAAAAAAGGAAAAACAAAGCTATTAATCAATACTATCGACTTTTCGTCAACAATTGAAACATTGCTAATAGTTTTTCGAAGTTAATAATTTTATTTTCGCAGAACATATTTTTTTATATGAATTCTGTTCCCAGAAATTTAGCAACAGGAATGAATTAAAAGTTAAATTAAAAAAATATTTATCTAAATATCTATTTCCCTCCCCATCATTCCATCTTTTTTTGCAAAAGTATCACTAAAGATGACTAAAAAACTTTTTCTTTTCCATGCTTCCATCCCTCTCCTTTCCATATCAATCAATCTTTACATATCTGTCGTACAGTTTGTTAACATTGTTGTTTCATCCCCAACACTCCGCAACAGAAGCACTCATTTTAAAATATCTCATATAGCAAGTTGCTTTTCCTATGTTAAATAATTTCAGTAATTCAGTAGGTAGATAAAGAATTTCAGCTGTGAATGAGTATCACGATTCCAGAAATTTTCCGAAATTGCTCTCATGAATATCGTCTCAAAGATATCAAATATGTACAATGTCATATACCTATGGGTACAAATCCATGCAGATTACTAAAGGTTGGCTATTATCGCCTGTTCGAACTATTTAATACAAAGCAGATTTGAAACAGAATTATTTGTAATTTTTGTCCTTCTACTTGCTTCTATTTCAAAATGTTTGTTTTGTTTCAAATTTTTTTCTTTGGGAGATTTCCTGGAGTTGTCTCCCGAATATTCCCGTTTTTTAATGTTATTTTATCGTGGTTATATCATATCACTTGTTAGTCGCACTACTAATTCCGGATAGTGAGTAAATTTGCCTGGATGTTCAGGATAACCAACTTTAACTACTTCCTTACTTAGTCCCAGTTTCTCGTATTCAATTCACTTTCAGGAATTGCATGAAGCGAAAGATATCCGAAAGTATCTTTTTGCCACAGTTCCACTCATACTTGCAACATTTGCTATTTTGATAAATATTATCTATTGCATACTGATAATAGAGTTATGGCGAAGGAAAAAGCTCAGGCAATTCTCTTTCTCATCGTATTTTCTGTCCTCGTAAAAGCCAAAATAAGAATTTGATCAGTATAGAGCATTTTTAGTACGGAAAAAATACAATGATTATAGTATTAGACGGAATCATAAACCGGTAAGCAGAAATTTGAAGGCGAAAATGTGTCTCACAAGGGCAAAAATGCATATTCTCTGACTCGCTCATTTTTGCATTTTATCTGTTGTATCAAATTTTAATCCATTCAGATTTTAAAATTTCAGTTCCTTGTGTCGGTACAGCTTCCTGCTAAGTAGGACGATAAGCAATATCCTTGCACTAACTCTTTTATTTATTGTTTTAATTGCCTGGAAACTGGAAATATTCCAGTATGCATCTGCTGCTGCGTTCATTTTGATCGGATCGTTATCTTTCTTGACATCGGCTGGTAATTTTAAATTAAAAAAATTTTTTCTACAAATTTGGAATTTTCAAATTTTGCAAAATCAAATCAATGATATCCTTGGTACTAAAAAATTTTTTGCAGGTACCTATGTTGCAGTGACAACATTACTTTATTTAGCAATTGTGCATCCATTGAGATACCTGTATACTGTTAATGTTACTCGATGTTTCCTTCTTGTTACTATCCTTTGGCTTGTTTCCATTGCTTTTTCAGTAATTTTTATAGTTTTTCTTTAATTTTTTACCAATATCTACAAATTACCGGCTCTTTCAAAATTTCAAATTTTAAAAGTAAATAATTAAAATTTGCTCATTTTAAACGGATCAAATATTGACTTTTTCTTTTATTGCAACTTTTCTATAAATTGATGCATATGTAATGATATGCGGGAAATTTGATTAGGTATGGAGAATTGCAGGATTTAAACAATTCAAAAGACGGAACAAAAACAATTCCATTTTATACAATCTTTTTTAATTCTTTTCAGTTACTTCTTGAATGAAAAGTTTTATCACATTTAAAAATTTCACATTTAAATTCAGCTTTTTCTTGGTTTGTATGGTGCCACCTTGTTTTATCCAGAAACAGCGCCAATCTATTGCTCAATCGACCGCTGTCAACAACCCATTGCTGTCTTTGTCGCTTTTCTTCTCTCTGCATTCTTTATTACTGTAATTATATCCTATCTGATTATGCTTTATATTATTCACAGTAGAGATCGAGACAGTCGATTGGTAAATATTTCATATATTTCAGTCATTCGTTAATTTTAAAGTGTATTTCACTGTTGAATTAAACGGAAAAGGAAGAAAAGCACAGATCCGTATGTATAGATGATGTGTTGCAGTGAATAATCAGATTGCTACAATTTTCCAAAAATTTGGGATATTTAATTTAGGCTTAAGCTATAAATCTCGTCAATGTAGAATAATAGAAACCTAAAAATATTCAATTCCACGACACTTAACATTTCTCCATCCTTTTTTCCACCGTATTTTAGTGACAATCTGCAATTCCTGAAGGATATCGGGCATTTATCAAATAGGGAGGCGATACATCGAGGAAGAAATAAAAACTTTTATAAATCACCGCAGAATGACGGAAATCATTTCCACACGAGAAATATCCAAAAAATTCCGATAATTTCAGGAAACTGACTTAATAGCAAGAAATAATATACGAACGATGAACAGACTGGCACTACATATGATAACATTTACTGTTGGTTCATTACCAATACTTGTTGTTATAGGAATTGCAACGATCAATTTGAAAAACTTTGCTGTTTTAGGTGAATTGCAGCAAATTTTATTTCTATTGAGCTTTCTCCCTTCATGTCATCAGTCCTTTCATTTTCATAGTAATTACAGTTTTCAAGAATAAAATTGAGCTAAAATGATTAATCAAAGTTTAAATGAAATAGAAACTGCTTTCGAGTATTTTCACTACAATTAAGTTTATAGATGATAAAGGGAAGAAAAAAAAAATTAGTTACAAATAAATCATTTCATCGATTTTAAAAGTAGTTTATATGCTATCTTTTCAATTGATTAATTGCTACAGTGTTTAAGCCTGATTTAATTATCGATTATTTCTAATCGAACCTACATTTTCACAGGTTTGGGTGATAAATCATCGTGTAAAACATTCCTTCATGGAAGACTTTTTTTACAAGTTGAAATTCTGGCGTGTATTGCGGCAATTGTTTGGGTTCTAGCGATGATTTTTGATCCAGTTATTAATTTCTTAGCTGACCCAAAACTCGTCGATTCGATGCGTCCATGGCGGATACGCCAACAACAGATTCCATGCATTGAATTTCAAAAACCCAATACTACGGCTACTGCTTCTATATAAAGCAAACATGGACAAGTGGATAAAATGGACCCACTTCTCTGATACTGTCTTACTTCTGAAGTGTTATTGTCATTTAACATTTTGATTCAAAAATAAGTTCTAGCAGATGCATCATTTCCGTCGTTATTAACTACCGGTGCAATAAGAGATTAAAATATTTATTAATATTCAAATTATATTCAATTAATAATGTAATCTAGTCAGCCACTTGTTTCTTTTTAGTGTTTGAAAACTCAGTTTTCTTTTCCTCCTCTTTTTCTTTTCTTTCTTCGTAAAAAATCTGACCCCTAAATTTATTAATAACTTTGTACCTCATCAATTGTTGTGACTTTTCCTAATCACAAAATTATTATTGCTTAAATATAACTACTTCAATCTTACATCTGTAAATGAAATTAATCTATTGGAAAACAGTTTATCTGTAATAAAATCAATTTTATTAAAAAATTTTATCATATTGTCTGAACATATCATTAATCCTATTTACTTATTTATTTTTATTTCATAACTGAATAAATTTCAATCATTTTATTAATTCTAAGGGATGTTTGTTCGAGATTCTCACACCGTTGGACTAAATGAATCGTAAATAACTTTCTCTCTTTTTTTTTTATTGATTAATTATTGATTACTGATATACATAATCATATGTGCAATGACTATATACATTCTTATATTTTAGTTAAATTAAATGTAATTAATTGCAGTATGTAATCAGTAATCATTGTTTTGCAATGACAAGCATCGCAGCGAGCAGTGATGGAATTTGGACCGCGAATGAATAATAATAGTATGGAATTGGAGAGGGCGGAATGATGAATCATAATGGAATTCAACGAAATGAATAATTCCATTCCCATGCGTTTCCATTTCTTCTCGTTGTTACTTTAACTAAGAACTTTTATTTTCATACTTTGTAGTTTCATGCCTTTACTTGTTAAAGTAACTTACAACTTTGGCTGATTGATTAAATTCAACAAAATTGTGATCAATTTTAATACAAATTAAAGTGAAAGACTGAAAATATTTTCCAAGGATAAAAAGAGTGTAAAATTGAAAACAAAGGCGTATTATGTTCAACTTTTTAGTTTTTTTCACAAGTGATATCAAAAATTGTCGATTCCCGAAATTTTAAAAGACAACAGGAAGAAAATAAAATATAAAAGGATGTCAATTTAATATGAGGTGGCGAATTCTTGAAAATTTAAAGATTTTATTAATTTTCAGATCTAAAAAAGAGAATTGGGGTGAGTAAATCAAATTTTCAAATAACCAAGAATTAAAACTTGTCAATAAGATCAAATTTTGACATTTATTAGTTGAACAAGATAGAGAGCTATTTAGCAGCTATTTATTTAATAGGTAAATTAAAGGAAAAGGAATTACTAATTTTATCAAACAAATACGATGAACACTGTAAATTAGAGCAAAAAGAAAATTTTGATGAAATCAAAGAAAGAAAAACTCCCAAAGTGGAAGATAAAAGGGGAAAACGTCGGTTCTTCATGTATCAACCCGTAATGCTTCATTAATTTTTTTCAGTTTTCTTTCTTACCCATTCCATTCCTCATTCTTCTCCTTCTATATTTCTTATCAGTATATCACTTTATTTACTTATTGACTGATAAGACATGAAATGTCATGCGCTATTAATTCATGTTTGCGAAAAACAGCATTAACTGTATGATTAGTGTTTATAATTTAATAAAATTTATTTTTGCCTTTTGAAAAGCAATTGTTAGTTACTTACTCATGTTGATTTAAACTTGTTTGTTATGTTATAAATAGCAAAATTTTTCCTTTCTCATCTTCAATTCAACTTATTTACTATCAGAATTTTTGATAATTTTACACAAGTGCATTTTGCAATTAATGTAAAGAGGCATTAACTATCAAATTTTTCATTTTATTACGCTTTCTTATCCAAAATCGAACAAAATATTGAGAAAGTAAAAGAGTACTATTGAACCAAATAATACTGTACAAAATAAAATTGTCCTTTTTTCATGATGCGTATCAAAATTTGCATAAATATGAGAGTAAATAAATAGGCAAACTATTATTAAGTTTGATAATACTATTGTGCATTGCATTTCTAAATTCCTGTTTTTCTCTACTAATCAAATTCATATCACGTATGACGGAGAAAATGAATTGGAAAAGTTGTATAATTTGGGTTAATATCAGGTGTGTGCAATTTATTACATATCAGTTTCCTATGTTTTCTGAATTTTGAAATCTTCTAAAATTTCAATTTTTTCGAATTTCTGTGTCATTCTAATTATCTTTCATAAATTTCTTCATTTTTTTTAATTAAAAAATAAAATATATCAAATGATTCTCCTCTCCTCTACTGAGAGACTAGAAATGAATGATTTAAACTCAAATTTGAAACATATAGAAATTTCACATTGAACGAAATTCGACTTTTGTTTCCTGTCAAGAATAACATTTTCTGGAAAACTTGTAATTTTGATGAACATTGTTTTTTGATGTGATTGTAGTAACTGTTTTTAAAAAATTTTTCCGTGCAGGAAAAGTTTGCAATATTTTCCGGTATTCAGTATGGTTGATATTGTTGTTTATGGAAGTATTGTGCAAGATTTAGTAAGGTAAGTTTAAAAATTAAAAGGAAAACTCAAAAAACAATAAAATACGAGACAAAATTTTAGGATACTGAACCGTAATAACTGCGAAAATTTAGACGCTATAACAATTAATTGAGAAGTTATCATCAATAACTGCTTAATGAACTTTATAAAGTAGATTAAGTGATAAGAGTAATGACAAGCGAAATCGCAATCTTTCCATATCACCGATGACATGCATTCACCTGAAGCTTTCATTATTTCCGATAATCATTTCCTTCAAAAAGATAATTTATTTCCCAAAAATGCAATGTCCTTGTACAGGTGTCCATGTTTTTTTCACCAATCGCACTTACCTTTTTCTCTGCAAAACTTCCTCTTTCTCCGAAAAACGGACCTGTTTAAGTTACACGGATCGATTCCCACAACCAGGCGAAACCATAAAAGGTACATTTACAACATCACCAGGAGGAAAAGGTGCTAATCAAGCCGCTCAAGCTGCTATGTTAGGTGCTACAGTATGTATGATTGGAAGAGTAAGTGATTGCTTATTATTTCGTTATTTTATTTTATCAGAAGGAAAAAAAATGCAATGTTGTCGTTCTATTATCGGCACGGGGCGTCCATGTTTTTTTTTTCTAGAAGAAAGAAATAAAGAAAGAATTTTAAAATAGCGTCAGATATACAGAAATAAATAAAAAATGATCGATGGTTTCATATGTGGAATTTTAAGCATAACTAAATTATGCAATCTCAAAAGCCTCCTCACTTAGCAATACTATTTCAAATTTCCAAATTATACAACATTCAAAAATGGATATCAGATCAAGTTTGTCTTAAACATCATGATTACATATTATTTGAGGTTGGTAAAGACGTGTTTGGAACAAGTAATGTGGATAATCTGAGAAGTTTCGGCGTAAATACTGAATATATTGACGTTAGTGAGAGCGGAAAAACTGGTTGCGCCACAATAATCGTTACAAAGGACGGTAAGCACAAGTCATAACGTCGGCTACTATTTTTTCATATATAGTTTAGTAATAAAGTTTTTGCTGTTACATTACTTCCACATTGCTTTTTCTTATAAGCTCTACATGAGAAATATAATCGGATTTTTTCTTTTAAATATCTTTTTTACAATTCCTTCTAAAAATTTGAGGTCAAAATTCGATAGTGGTTGCACCAGGTGCAAATCTGGAATGTTTAATATCACGGATTGATGAATTGGAAGAAGTTGTCGCTAGCGCAAAGTTGGTACTTTGTCAAAATGAAACAGCTTATGAATCCGTAAAAAGAATATTTGAATTAGCCAGGAAGCATAATGGTTCGTTTTTTTGAAGTGAATCAATTATTATTGTAAAAATGATTCCATTAAATAAGTGAATAATGGCATTAAAATTTCAAAATTATTTTGATTCAAATGTTTTCAGACCTTCAAAAAACTTAAAATTGAGAAATTAAAAAAGACTCAGCAGTACATTTTCAGTGCAGACATTCCTGAATTATGCTCCAGTTGAAGAGACTTTCGTTAAGAATATTTTGAAATTGGCGGATATATTATGCGTAAACGAAATAGAGGTAGGCATAACGACAGGCTTTGGATTTTACTTACTTCATTTTAATTTAATACTTGTTTACGAATCGTAATGGCATATGGTTTTTAAGCGTGTATGAAATTAGCTGATACGTGGCACTTCAAATATTTTTGATATTGGATGAATGACTCAAGGCAAGACTATGATCAAAAGTTTCTTCAAACATTATACTCCTACTACCTTTATAAAACACTTAATGACCTTCTCTGTATTGCATTTTCTAAATTTTCACATTATTTCAGACCGAATATCTCACAGACCAGCATATTGAATCTATTGAAGATGCGCAGAAAACTGCCAGGAAATTACTGGAAGCTGGTCCACTAATTGTCATTTTAACGCTTGGTGCGAAAGGTGTCACATATGCTAGCAAACAGGGCGATTTCGGTTATATAACGGTACCGACGGTTAAGGTTGTTGAAACTACGGTAAGCATTACACAAAATACATATTCCTCAATGAAGTTTGCCCAGTCCTAACATCTGCAAGAATTATTGAGAGCTTTTTGCAGGGTGCCGGTGATAGCTTCTGTGGTGCATTTGCTTATTTTCTGGTGAAACGACCGGAATTAGAGTTAAAAGAACAAATCCGACGTGCCGCATACATTTCTACCTTCTCAGTACAGCAAAAAGGTACACGTGATTCATTTCTATGGCCAAAAGATCTACCTCCGAACTTATTCATGTGATATCCAACACTTAGTCACTCCCACTCTTCTCATTTCTCAAGGTTTATTGGAGAAAAATTGAAAACAAATCATGCTTTTCCTATATGCTTTTGAATGTAGCAACAAATATGATCAAACTTGCTTCCTTAGAAATTTCTTAACCAAACTAAGCTTTCATCTGTTTGATACCAGTTCTTGTCGCCATATCCCAGACAATACGTACCGATGTAAAAAACGCCTTGATATTTGCTTTAACTGCCAGCAAATCGTCTCATTTCTCAAAAAACAATGATTAAATAATAGGACACGACTATGAAATACTACGAAAACGATTCAAAATAAAATGATGGATAGAAATCACCATTATCACCATTCCCTTTTAACTTAGTAATAAAAAATTATACCACACGAGATGGTCAGATGTCCGCTCGGTACCCCATACTACCATTTTTATTAAAAGTACGTTATGATAATTTCTCCTTGATTTATCCAAACGAATATTAAACCGCACATTCTCTTATATAACTTCGCTAATATTTGTGAGTAAAACTTTGTTTAATTATTAATTTCCAGACATTTTTACAACAAAAAAGCTTTGGATACATTAAGCGGCGTAGTATTTAAAGAATGTTTCCTCCTTATATAGATAATTTCAAACCAATTCCCTCCCTCTCCACGTTTTTCCTTCTATTTTACACAATAAAACATGGAACATAGAACGGGGGGAGGGAAAAAAAGTACACAACATACATCAAATAGTTTATTTCAATTTAAATTCTTAAAAATACAAAAATTAATTACTACTTCACCAAGTGAAATGATGTTCTGTAAAAAGAAATCTTCTTATCAAATTATGTATCAAACCAGTCTTTGATTTCGTTTTTTTAACATAAAATTTACAAAATTAACGCCAAAAAAAGCTGCTAAAAAATATATGAATTAAAATGAGATCGCAGCAAAAGCAAAAAAAAATACAATCCAGAAAACTAAGACAACAACGACAAAAAGGTAAACTATAATTGAATCCAATTATGAAATTAAAAAAAAAATGACAGGAGAAACAAGAACATGAAATATGCCACATCTAAAAAAAGCGTTAGTATCCAAATTTTATCGCCATGCTTCATATGTTTCAGCGAAGTTGCCACCTTGTGATTGAGCATATCTAAAGGTTGAAAGCTCTCATCAACAAGTTTTCGGGCACAGAAAACTCTAATTTGTATATGCAGACCAAAAAATATTTTCTATATCTTTACTCCTTCATCAACTTAAACGTTTTGCTTTCTTTTCTCATCTATTTGCTATCTCTTTTAACCTACCTCCTTCCATAATAATAGCAACTGCACAGCCCACTAGAAGCCATGAGTTCAAATCTTTTTCTCTAGCATCTCCAATCCGAAACGCAATTAGAATAAGATATTTGTCAAACGGACAAACGAATTATAATGGGTAAGATTGGTAACATCAGTCAATATAGAGCATTTATGCAACCGATCAAACCGTTTTAGAATCTCATGCATAAGTCCAAAATCTAAAACTCTAAGTCAAAAGTCTTACATTCATTCTTTCATTTAGCAATAATTATAGTTGATATATGAACGAAACTAATTTTCAAGCCTTGGAATTGGAAGATCAATCTAATAATGTAAAAATAGCGATATTTTTTTCCTTTTTAATTTTATTATTTAATCTTCCTTTTCCTTTGCTTCTTTTTATCGTGCTTAATTTCGTTCTTTTCTTTTTGCCTCATAGTATTTATTTCCTTTGGAAAGGAATTTGAGCGTTGAGTCCCAAAATTTTTGATTAAAAACATCTGATAGGCAGTGCAAACGAAACGGTTTACCGTATCAAAGTTCTGCATTCAGCGAAGGGAGGATTTCGAGACTTACATCGACGGTGTAACCCAGGCTGGCATTTTACTCGTGCTACCTGCTGCTAACGATGACGTTGATGGTGTTTGCATAATTGCGTACGGGTCATTTGTTTCTGGACGTCTCATATAATCAGGTACAGTATTTTGTGTAGATAACTTTTTCGCAAGATCGCTACAAATAAGAACTTAGAAAAGGTTTTCTAAATAGCACATATTAACATTAACTACGACTTGCTAATTTTTGGCAAGCTCCTGAGAAACCATTTTGCTCCTTGCATGAAATAAAGTCAATATCGATGCCAAAGATTAATGGATCTAAAATGAAAGTAATTTTTTTTAAGTTGAGCTTTTTGTTGGATACAATTTTCAAAAAATTAAAGTGAAATATAATTCATAACTTTAAATCAGTGAATATATGAATCAATATGTGAATCACCATAGATGACTGTTTTATAGGAAGTGACACAAATGTAAACATGCCATTAATAACCAAAAAAACAGCAAAACTTACTCAATAACCTTTTGTTGACGTAAAATATGCTCTTGCAAATCCATTTCTTTTCTACGCTCCATGGCACCACTCACTAAAATTGATAAATTAAAAAATCTGACTGAAATAAAAAAAACATACAAGTAATACTCATGCATTTCTTTCCGTATTAAATATACCAAACAATTCGCAAGTGATCGTTTCTATTCAAAATGATAAAACATTTGTTCGTAAACAGATACAGCATTTCACGAACCTATGTCAAACTTCGAATCATCAAATTTCTCTAGTTTATAACCAAAATTTTTTTTAAATTCGCCAACTTAAATCTTAAAAAGGAGAAAAAAAAGAGAAAATGGAAGATCAGCATTACATGGAACAGTGGGACGTGGCGGAGGCGGAGCCACATCCGTTACGACAACGTCCATCACGGGCAATTTGCCCGGTGGTTTCCTTCGCCTGGCATCTGCGTAACCATACGAATCGAAAGCAGGGCCGTATGGATACGGAGCTGGCTGTGGTGGACGTCTCCAACTGAAAATGACACTGATTCTTAACTTTGTCTGCTTAGCAAACAACAATGTCAATAGGAAAAATATGATAGCAACCTTTGATATACAAAGGTACTATACTTTCCTTCTTCCCAAGGAGTAACAGAATCCGTAGGTAATAAGGTATGTACGTGTACTTCTCATAAATGTTGGGGGATAAAAATAACAATACTGAATGAAAACGATTCCACAGTACATTAAGATGCAAAAACAGTAGTTTGCAAAATAAAAACACACGGTTCCACTCTGTAGCCTCCTCCATACCGCGGTGGAGCTGGTGGCATTGAATAGGATGGAATCGATCGAAATGAATCGGATCGACTACATCGTCGTCTTCTGTATCGCCCTGCTCTATAAAAGAAACGTAACTTTCTTTAAAAAATTAGTCAAGGAGCAGTTATTATTAATAATTAACAAGAACCGAAAATATTTACAAAATTCTGAAATCATCAAAATTTCTTTCGGTTTTGAAACAATTTCCTGTGCTAATAATATACTCAAACATTTATGATTCCTTTTATCTTATAGGGTGCAATTGCACACATAGACTTTTAACCTACTAACCTCCTTCGTTTTCGGGATGGTCCACCTCCATCATCTTCTGCTATTCTTTTCGCATCGCCGGAGGATTGACCTTTTTTGGGAAATGTTGGTTTCGACTGTAGATTTCTCAATCCAGCGTTTTTCTCAGCAGGCTTGATGCTCTCACAACCGTGTGCAGCACCATCATCAGTACTATTACCACCACCGCTCTCGGTAATATCTTTTTCCCGCTCCGTTTCCAATGAACGCTTATGATCTTGTGCTGTTTTTAGAGCATCGACTCGGGTCTGGTTCATTTCCGGTGTTACCGATGCTTTGGATAATTTTTCTTGTTCCTGTTCAATTTTTTTGGATTGCGTGTAAGAGATGAATTCTTTGTAGGTTAACAAACAGTACATATCAGTTTCTGGTGTCGGTATAATAAGCCGATCCCAGCCATGAAAATCCACTGAAATTACATTCAAGTTAAAAAATTCATTTTCAAGAGCAAGTCTATTAAAAGAAGTTGAAAAAAGACTTGAAATTTTTCTGAACAGTAAGACCATAGCAATAATTGATGCCACAAATAGGAAGAAATTTCTTCTGGGTTTAACTGGCTTTCATTTTTATAAACTATGTCATAACTCTAACATCATATGGTAAGCAGTAAAGCTAAGAATAACTGTCAACCTTACAACTGACTACATTTTCATATAACTATATGCCTCATCATGAATAACTTACCATTAGGGAAGTATACTTTAACATAATTACTCGACACATTTCTTGCACCGAGATAAACAAAATCATTATTAGAATGAGCTGCCACAGCTTCTCGAGCAGTTGGAAACAACAAAACAGCCATACGTTGCCTGTAATATTTTTGCTTGAAGAAGTAAAACTTTTACATACAATCTCAAGAAATTCTGCTCAATCTCTATAGCATCCATGTCTTAGATCTTTACGCAATACAAGCGCAGGCTATTGCCAAGTTGATTGGTTAAAGTCTTTTTAAAATTTTACAAACCATTCCCATGTCAGCTTACAGTCAAAATGCATTAATTTAGAAGAAAACTGAAATTTTAAACTGATGATATACATTTACCCTAACATATCCTTTTCAAAGCGTATACTTTCGATCGGATAGTTTTTAAAACAAATTTCGCGGATTTGTTTCTCCGTTACTTCATCACTCACAGGTTTTACGATCAAATAGCGCATACTTTCCATCGGTTCCCGCATTCGACCCAAACGACTTTCTAATATTTCCTTATATTTTCGTACCCATTTTGCTAAAATTGCAACATTCTGTAGAAAACTTTAAACAAAGATAAGGAAGGAAACAAAGAAGCAGCATTAGCAGACAAACAAAGTTTAATGAAACTCCATCTAGCTTTCAAATCGATTACAGAAAACATATGAAAAGACAGAGAAAACATGCATATAATCGTAAATCCAGATTTTATAGAAAAATTTGTTTTTGACAAAAAATAAAACTTCACTTTGTGGTAAGTAGATTTTCAATCGATGTGCACCAGTTCGTATATGAACGAGATTGTTTACAGCACAATATGCAATGGGGTGATCACTTTGAAAATATGCTTCAATTCGCCTGGAATAAATAACACAGAATATTAGAAGCAAAAGATTCTTGGATCTTTTGAAGAGATTTATTTCCAAATCTAACAGAGAAATAATACCTACCCGTATAAATGATTAAAATCTGCATCAATTTTCCCTGCTGACAGCGGAAACTCCATAATAACTCGTTTACAACGTAAAAGTGCAGTGTAAAACCAAGGATTGTGCATATCTGCTGGTAACACATTTTCAAAAATTACCACACGTCTATCTGACTCATCCTTGCACACTGCAAAAATTTTATCTTATACAGATTAGATTAAATTGGGTGCAAGAATTATTCTGGACATCATATTCTTCGTCCAGTAAGATGATAAATATATATTGATTACCGGTTAATATTACTTTACATTACTAAACTAAAAGAATTTAATCATCTAATAGTCTCCTAAGACAAAGACGGCTAACATAATGAGATCAGTCACGATCTCATTATGTTAGCCGTCTTTGTCTTAGGAGATTATTAGATGATTGATCAGTGAGATCAGTCTATTTCCATTATCAACATATAAAAAATAAATGACCATATAAACTTGATCGCATTTATAATACAATTAACGTAACACTTACGCCTCCATTGAAATTCCGGAGCACCATCCCAATCAACTGGCAGTGTTTTGTAATATTCCGCCATAATCATTTTGTTAGTTAATTTATCTGGACCCGTTTCTTCACCCAAACTTCTTACCGTTATATTCTTTAAACTTTCTACTACGGCAAGAACTACTTCAATATCCGTTTCTTGAACGACGTTTGCAATTTCCCCTTCTTTCTTTTCTGAAAAATATGAAAGATGTCAACGATACATGTCAAACAAATAGCTTATTTGTCTTTTTTATTTTGTTAAATTCACACATCGGTGAAATCACACTTTTATTTGCCAAAAGTTAAGCTGAACGAAAACAAAAACAATTCTTTTATTCAATTAGAAAACATGCCCCCAAGTTTTAAAACCTAGAAGTATTCTTGACTTTCTCTATGACTTTACTATTTCAAATCGAAGATATTCACTTCTACTAATCATATGTCTGCCAGTTTCTGGGAATTCATTTTCTGAAAAAGAAAGAACAGTTCACATCCTTCAGATGTTTGCTTCCAGAGCCTATAAAGTAGAAAAGTGATCAAAGATCTGCGGTTGTCCTTCGTAATGACTGAGAATATTTCCTAAGGAGGAGTACAAATGCATTTACATGAATCTATACAGAAATACCCTTTTTGTAAAATAGATTACTTTAGAACGATCAGAAATGACAAAGATATTCAGGGTCCATACTAGGAACGATAATGTTCAATGGCTTCTTAACTTCAGCAAGCAAAGTAATAGGCCAACCGTTTTTGCCATCTTTGCCGACTATCGGTCTCGATGCATCGTCGTCATCACGTATAACAACGACATCATCTTGCTCTGATGCCACTGGAGCTACTGGAATATTCGGTATACCAGTACCTATAGCACTTGGAGCTCCGCTACCGGCATCAACAACAACAGTATCAGCCGGATTACTGTTACATTCACCAGCCATTTCAAAGTCTGATATTGCTTCGAATTCTGCTTCACCGCTCAACTCCTTCGGAGGTTCAGTGATTGAATCAACTGTTGTTGGCGGGTCAAGCCGATTTTTTTGCGAGATAACACGATCTCGATGCACTTGTGAATAGAATGAAACCAAACACTTCACACCGAGCTCCTGAAGTGACTGATTAGGTTACGGTGGAATGGTAACCCGGAAGAAACAGAGTACACGCGAGGAATCATGGATGTTTCCAACATTCGACTATAACGTCAACAACATGTTTCACATGTTGATATAACGTAAAATCATTACGAAAGAACCAGTGGAAAACGTAGATAAACATTCATTATGATTGAATTATCATTACGAAAGAACCAGTGGAAAACGTAAACATTCATTATGATTGAACTATGCTCTAACACTACCTAATAACGAATTATGTATCATATAGTAGTTGAGCTAAAGGGCCACTAACCGCACAAGAAATGTACTAAATTTGCCATATTAAGTTTGATTATTCGAAGAATAATACTGAAAAGGAAAAACTATAAATGACAACTTATGCTTAAGTGCAAAAGATGAAAACAAGCATTTTCTTGTTCTCACAATCTTTAATTACTAAAATGAATTTGTGCTAAGCAAAAAAAAACTAAACAGAAAGTAAAGGGCAAAATATGAACGCGTAATAAGTTTTCCCTAAACATATAGAATAAATCAAGTTATTTCTCTAAGTTAAAATACGGTAACCAAATTATCTTTCCTTTGTATGAAATAAATCCTAATCATGTTACTTTTCACAAAATAAAAAAGCTTCCTAAATGAGCCCACAATAAGTAAGTTTCTATTCAGTACACAGAAAAGCAGAAGGAAAAAATGATACAAAAATTTCAGTAGTTTTTATGGAAATAAAATATGTTTGCTTATGGGAAATAAAAAGCACCACTACTCAGCCAAAGATCTATTCAATACAAAAGGGTTATATATAAGCAATGCGATCATGACCTACTAAGACATAATATATTGGTACCAGAAAAAATCCCGCCATAGATCTTGTAACCCTACAATTGAGTATGTCGCCTATGCGAAAAAAAAGAAAAGAAGAAAAAGAAACCGCTTACAGCGAACAGACAAATAACTTCTATGGAAAACTAAAAATACGAGCTGCTACAAAATCCTTATTAATAATTAAGAATCGTAGGATATACAAGCTGTCAGACCATTTCGTACAGTGCGACTGCTGCCGATAACTGCGCATGTCGACGACGCAGCATGTGCAAACTGGACACATTCGCTTCAATAAGATCACATTTCACTCATTATCAAGCACGTTGACCATTTTAATTCACTTAGTCGAAGCACTGTCAGTCAAAAGACGGTTGCCTAACTGCTGGCGATAGCTTTACCGGCAAAGCTCTGCAAATTCACATATATTTCATTATCACATACGGACTCTAAGTAATACAAAGATCATACATACCATGTATCCCTCAGTGTCAAATAAAGATGAGCACAGAAATAACTAATGACTCATCCTTACTCATGCATTTCATTTGTGATGTGAAAAATGAGTAACCTGATCTAGAACACCATCGATCAACGGGAAACGGATAATACGGTCGATGGCGCCAATTTCAAGATCAAATTTCAAGCTGATCAATTGAAAAATGATTTCGATGACTTGTTCTCGTGGTTCATATTGTAGGGGCATCGGTAAATTGCTAATAATAACCACGCGTTCAACATCCAACTTTTTCATTTTTTCACTAAAGGTTGTCAACATTTCCATCGTCGCTTTAATTTTCTCAACTGTAATTGATACTAATTTCTCGGAATCTAGAATTGCGTATGTCATGTTTTTCTTTAAAATATTGCAGAAACTGTACAATAATTCGGTGCAAAAAAGCCGCTATCGTAATTTTCCCCATTTATAAGAACAAGACGTAACTAATATTTATACATAAGAAATCAATACATAATTACACTCCCTTTAAAGTGATAAAAATAAGACATACGACGACCAAATCCCGTCAAAAGAAAGCTCCTCGGGCATTGAAAGAACACGCAAACGCAACGCCTGTACGCCTCGCACTCGGCGGAGTCTCGAAGTCATTTCGACCAAACCGAAGCAACCAATCGGTCACACATATTCATTACGAAATCCTTCCATCCCATGTGGATACTACAAAAGGGTACAACTGCAATATATAATGATATGATTATATGCATTTATAATGTAGTGACAATTCTTATCGTAGCACAATTATAACATTAGAATGATATTGCAGTATTACAATTATGATTATGATTGTGGTACCACTATAATGCTAGCAGAATATTTTTTCTGTCTGAACATACAGCGCCACATTTGAGATTTTCCGTCTCAAAAGGAAAACTAAATCATTGTTAGAACTTCTAATCACTATTTGAATACATCAGCCACGTTATATTCGCATACTCTGTAAATGATAAATTCAAAAATTCAAAATACTTTTTCACAAAAAGCGGTAAAAATTGATCAATTTAACCTTTTAATTTAGTAGCTGACAATAATGCAGATATATATTAAATGATAAATCACTTAATTTTAGTTCCCTTTTCTCAGTGGTAAAAGATTAAGAAAATACAACAATTATTCAAAGATTTCGGAATACTTCACCGACAATCACAGACCCGAAGAAAAAGTTACGGGAAAAGGTAAAGTTCATATTCAGAAAGGAAACTCCGCAAAACTATATCTCACAGGGTCATTGCTTCTTCTCTTTTTGTATAAATGAATAAAATATGATAAACAATCTGCAGTGTCTTTCTTTTTTCCCTCTCTACCATTAATAAGCCATCATTCTTTATTTTAAAATTTTAATTTGAAAAGGAAATTTTGACTGCAATTCAAGATATACGACCGTATCAGTTTTTATTCATTTAATCAATGTATGGACACGGAATGATCACACAATTGTTAACAATTGTTTTCTTACGACGAAATTTCAAATTTCGAAGGCTTAAAATCAAATACTTTGATTTGCTTGAACAAACAAAATTCTGGTAATTTAAATAAAACTTTCTATAAATTTGTTAAGTCCTGTCTTCAGAGATGGTGGATTCATTGAAATTTCTCCATATCGATGATAAAGATATGCCCAGCAGAATGAAATTGTTGCTTCCTAAATTTACAGCATTGAAATTTGAAATAATTCTGCACATATTAAATCTGCCTAATGGAAGTTAAAAACAAGAATACAAAAATGTCATACTCATTTTATTTTTTAGAAGCTAAGTAGTTTGAATTTGATAATCATTCGCTTTTTTATTTTACGCTTACTCGATTTTGCGTGCAGAAATCAGATACATTATCACATAAGTCAGGTGCATGTTTGAAAATGTCCTTCTCAGTATAATTACGACAAATCGTACCAGCTACTTCAACCAAACACTTTACAAAAAATAAGCTAAAATAGAGATCAAAATTGTGACTGAAAAAATGATTTATCTGATTTATAAGATGTTATCAAATTCGTGATCGTTTAAATAGTTAACATCAAGTCATCGAAAGCTAACGACATCTCGATTATTTAGAATTACAATTGTTTGGTTGCTAAAACTGTCATAGCCTTAGGTTATTTACCGTAACTAAGTTGAAACTCTTCTATAGTTAAATTTATGCTAATGTTAAAAAAATACTCAAAACATAAAAAAATCTCTTCTCATACAGAAAAAACACTTATATGTTTCAGTTTCTCAATTCAAATTCTTTAATTGGAATTGTTTGATCATTTTACTTGCATTTCCAATTTATAATAACTTACTCGCAAAGGCCATCAATTTGTGGCCACATCGACGTATAAGCATCGCATGCAGCAACCGACGATTTACAACTTTCATCATTTTGTCGCTCACGAATTAAATATGCCTGCAGGTATTAACAACTTACATATTCAATTTAAGTGAAGAACTTAAAATTTTGTCTGAAATTCGAAATTTTTTCTGGATTTAAAATACATTTATTTTAGCATACTCTACTTCTTTCTTATAAAACCACTGATTCATTTCATTTTCTCTTTTTTAATCGATTGAATTTCACTGCAAAAAGTATAAAGGTAAAAGTAAGGTTAGAGAAAAGTTAGAGGAAAGTTCCACCTATATGAGTGCTAAAAGAGTTTAATATTTATCTAATATTAAAATTATATGGTTTGAATGTGATATATATAGTATGACCATTTGACTAGCTGAATCATATGCCAATTCTTCAGCAGATGGATGTTCATCAATTCGATTTGTTATATCCAACCATTCATCTGATGAAACAGACAATATTTATATTTCATTATGGTTTAGCAAAGACATTAAAATATCTCAAGGATTTGCGATTAAAAGATTAATTAAGTACGGATTAGTAAGCATTTTTGACACCTTGTCAGCATAGATTTTTGAATTTTTGGATTTAATTTTCGATGAAGTATAGCAAAAAAAAAGCATAGCAAAGTTTTTCCTCTAGATTGAACTTGTTACTTTAAAAATTCTAAAGTTGTTGCGATTAAATTTTCCATTCTGAAAAAAATTTAATCTTAAGCTTCTTGAGAAGATTCGTGGAAACTTGAGAAATAGATTATTAATAACTTAATCAGCAAAAATGAGGTTCCGTCTAGCAATTTATGCAATTTGCAACTCTTCCTACAGCCTAAGAGATTTTTCAGAAAATCGTACGGCCAATTAATTCTGTCCGTCCTCATAATTTTCACAATCTAAATTTTTACTTTCTTCTTCCATCATGAATTAGCCAAACTGATAACAACCAAAAGTTCTAGAGTTTCAGTTAAACTAAAGCATGATATAAATTTCAGATGAGTAAAACTTACCTCTAACGGGGAAAGAACCATCCTCTCCAGTACTATTCAATACGTTTGGTTGTTGATGAACGAGAAACATAGGCGATATGTGCCGCATTTCTTTCACATTATTTTCCATGTCCATTTTAAGCTCACTTCTCATACCCATTTTGAAAGTATTTTTCATTTTCATTTTAGCAGTACTTTTCTTACACATTTTGGTGGCATTTCCTTTATTCATTAAAACAGCGTTTTTGAAGATTTCAGAACTGTGATTTAATTTTGATCCCAATTGCTTCATGCCTTTGTTAAACATACACTTCCTTCTCATTATTCCAGTTTTTTTCATTGAAATCATAGTCGTTGATTTTTTAATCGATTTACAGTCAACAATTTCTATCAAGATTGCATTAATTAAAACTGAAAATTTTATTAAAATGTATGGAAGAAGTAGGAATGGATGCTATGAAAATGGATTAATTTATTGATTTCTTCTAATTAACGATCTAATCAACGATAAGAATTGAAAATTTTAAGAATAATTCAAAATAATTTTATCTTATTTTTTTTCATCCCCTCTCATATTATTCTTTACTTACCAATAAAGTATATTTTTGATCCATACATTAATACTGAGGGAAGAAAAAGTATTTGTTAGTGCAACCGAATCGGTACTATTGAATTAAACAATAATAAAAAATTGCCTCTCCATATTTATTAAAATATGATCAATTCTTCCTTTGAAATAAATTTTATGCTAATTTTTACCATACTATAGCATAATTTCACATCAGGTCAACGAGTCGCCCAGACTGATTTTTAATAAGCTAAGAAATATTGAATCGACCTTTATTAACTAATCTTGAAGTCTGAGATCATCTCATTTAAAGAATAATACTAAAGCATTTTCTGTATAAGTTTAATTTTGAAACGAATTGATTTACGAAATTACAATTAATTTCCGCCAACCTCATTGTCATTACATCCCTTATCTGTATGCAGCAAATTGAATCTAATTTCAATTATAAATTCGATTACAAGCTATAGCTGCTAACTTCTGCAAAAAAAGATTTTGACATCGAAGAATACACAAACGTTTTCAACATTACCGACTTTTTTTCATTAAATAATATGGTTAAGTTATTGTTCATGTACTGAGAAAGTTCATTTCTTTGTTTATAGGCAAACAGTAATATGATACGGTAGTAAACTTGTTGCCCCCCCTCTCCCCGCTTTCAGTGATATTTTTGTAAAAATTTCAAATCATATACATATATATATATATGGCATACGACCTTCTTCCTTTGTTAAATATTAACCATTTGTCCACATTTAATTCGCGCACATCTCTTTTTCATCTTTTCCTTCCCGATAGGATATGAATAGCTACTATACTAATAATATAGTAGGCGTCAACAAAAAACCATTTCTTCCAACAGAACCAAGGGTTAAATTCACGGGCATTCAATTTCATCACTATTTGTCTGCACCATGACGTCATAGATAATAAGAAAACAATAATTGAGTTGAAAACAAAAAATTCATATATCCATTTTCTTTCAAATAATGTCCAGTAGCCAATGACAGACAAATCATTGATAGTACACAGCTTTATTAGGAGAACTTCAGCATCAATCAGTTGATTAATTAACTTTTGCTCAAGTCAGTGTTTTGTCGATGCTAAATTCAGTTGTGATAGATAAAGGACGAATGATATGATTTCAAAAGAATGATAATGAGGAATGTGACGCTGCTTCTGCTAATTCCTTCGTATCGAAGCCAAAAATGCCATAGACCAAAGCTTGCGAGAATATTACGGCGCAAACGAATGAAAGTTGATACGTATGCGTAATTGTCTGAAACTTTTTTCAAAAACATTTCCCTTCATTTTCAAAAGCAAAATTCGTCGGTGCAACTTCACGTCTCACACGTCTCACACGTGTGATTTGTTAATTACTCCGACATGTCTCTCCTAAGTGTTAAATATATGACTTCCAATAAGCAATTTCCATGCATATTGCACCAGTCTAATGACCACATTTCTGATCATTTACAGTGATGATATTCTTGGTTAATCAATATGCAGAAATGGTAGATGAACAAATAAATCGTGGTGGATGATAATATTCAGTCAAGACCATTTCTACATGTGCCTCAACAAGATAATGCAGTGAATTAATAATTTGAAGACTAACAAGGTCTTTCCCAGCATTATTTACATACAGCTGCAATACAGCAAAACCAATGAATCCATAGAGACCAGCGAGTAGAAGGTAAGGTAATGATAAGTCGATGATGACTCCAAAGGATAAATGTATAAATAATCCACCACCAATGGTCAAACATACGAGCTTTGCGTGATCTTTACCGATTATCGATGATCCAAAATGAGGAATTAGTCCGATAGCCATCGGTGTAAAAGCTGCAATTGGTGGCATACCGACCAGATCCTTATTTGAGAAGACATATCCTGTCAACAGTCCCTGGAATGTTTGGGAGAAACATAATACTAACAAATAGCAATGCCAGTGATAAATATTTCTTGCTTAACCTTTGAAACACCATCATCATATATGATTATATTATCTCTCTTTGCTTGACCCTCTGACCCACATCCTTTGATGCTCATCTGATATACGACTATTTACGGAATTTATTCCAATTCAGATTAAAAGTATCTTTAACTGATGAAAATTACCTCAAAAGCAGCAAACGAAAATAGCACATGTCGTCGAAGAAGGTCATTCTTTGCTGTTATTTCCAGCGGTAGATGTAGGAAGTAATAGATAGTAAGCGGAAGGAGAAAGTATGCCAGTAGGACGGCATCTGAACCGCTTATGAAAAATTCAAGCAAGGACGAAAAAAGAATGCCACCAAGGAATGCTCCGAAGCTCAGACCCAATAACATAACAGCCACCCAGGAGAAGGTCCTCATAAGTTTCATGGTATCCAATTCGGGTAAGGTAGATTGAGTATCCTGTATCTTTACTATCATCTCATCACGTTTTTTCAACAATTCATAGTGAAGAACGTTGAACTGCTCGTATGTTCGTACCTGTATTAATAAAATTTTTGTCTAAATTAGTAGAATTTAAATTTAGGTTAACTTCAAGTTTAAATCGAGAAAATTGACAGAAAAAGGTGTTGGTTTAAAGCTGAATAAACTAAAATAAAAAAAAGAAATTGTTTGACTGCATAATACTGATTGAAAAAAATTAAACTTACATGAAATGTACAAAAATCCACAAATAAGCTAAAACAGATCTCTTCAGAAAAAAGAAATTTATAGTACCTTACTAGCTGAATTAATAAATGTTACAGCATGTTTCAGCAACTTGCTAAAGCCATTTTCAAATTCACTCTTATATTGATCGGCCAATTCAACCACGCTGACTACTGGATCTGATGTCATCGAGCTGAATTTTCAGATCAACCGACGAAATCAAGAAAGCAACCAATTGTTTCAACTTAAAAGTGATAGAAATGATAAATTATCAAGGAATTTAACATTTTGTACCGGAGCAAGAATTCATTGAAAGTTGTTAGCTTATGCAAATTTCACGAATTTAATACTATCATTCGTTTACCAACACAAAAAAAAAATAATGCAAAATTTTTTAAATTTTACTAAAATATTTTTCTTTTTGAAGTTGTTCGATCTTCTCCTTCTATTCTCTCTTTCCCTTCAATTGTTGTCCCCAATTTGATGTTTATAAATGAACCAATACTTAAACTGTAAAATTGAATGAAAAAATTTTATTTTTATATAAACTGTATGGATTTTGTTCAATAATATGTTGTTTTTCTTCGCAACAACAACATATTTTCTTTTTATTTTTTGTCATACATTATTAAGCTATTTGCTCTCAAAAATCTTCATCCTCTCTTTTGCTCCCTAAAAGTAAGAAAATAATTTATTTTATGAATGTTTTTTTTTCTCTTCTATTTTTTTGGGTCTTATTTTCTGCTCCAATTATTTGCTGGTCAAGGGATGATTTAAATTATCAATTCTTTCTCGTTGAATAAAAATTCTTATTGGTACTATTCCTACCGATCAGTCTTACCATCGGCACCAGTGCCATTATTACTACCATTACTACTACTGTTACTACGATTAATCCTAATATATCATTGACTTATTTTGTAATGACAGTTCAAAATATTCTTTTCTGCATCATTTTACATCATTGTTCAACAACTAATATCACAGAATTAGGTATGATATTTGTCATATTCTGGAGTGGTAAGCATGCAATTCGATCAGAATCAGTAAATATTAGTAATTTTTCTGATAGAGTCGGAATATTGTAGCAATACATAGTTTGTAGAAATTTCAACTAATTCCTACATAGTCCAAATTGCCGATCGGAAAATAAATCTGACGTTTACGTCTGAAGAATATCCGTTAGATCCTTTTACACATTCCGTTCATCTCCAACATAAAATCGAAACAGCGCTGTATTGCTTTAAATGGTTAGGTAATATCCGTAATAAAAGTAATTAATATTTAAAAGAAAGAGGAAATAATATTTCTCCTAATGTATGCAATTCTTAGAAATATCCAAAATGTTTCCGGTGTTACCACGCACCGGTCAAGTTGTCGATCCTGGATCATCAAGTTTTTCATTTCATCACTCTCAACCGGAGGTATTTATTCCTTTTGAAAATTTCAAGCCTTTTTTGCATTTTTACAGAATAACTATAAAATTCATAAAATGATTTTTCAACCAATAAACACAAATCTTTTACAGGAAAATTTCAAAAAAATTGAAAAAATAGGAGAGAGGTACGATCGACTTGCACGAATTGCTGGTAATGCGCAACGGTCAAGTCCAATGTTTATTAAACTGATCAACAAGAATTTGTCAAGAAGTCGTACAATCGACAAGCAAATTCATGCAGTTCGATTAAACGGAGATAATAGCAGAGAATGGCAATTAAATAAACCGAGTTGGTTGTATTCAAAAGTTCCCGAGAATCAGTTAAAGCGCAATATAGATGAAGAGATGGACACAGAAAATGAAATTTGGAAATTCAAAAAACCGGAAACAACAGAAGCTTCTTGTATTTCCAATAATAAAAAACAAAAATATATTATTTTCAAAGAATACTTCCGTTTTTGGAATTTCTCTTTAGAACCGGCTAATTTAATTCAACATTCCTTGGATATTTTGCATATGTCGATGATAAATCGGAAATGTTCTACGGATCAGAAATCAGCATTTTGTTGTCAACAAGTTACTAAAAGTGTGGAAGATTTTACAAATAAGAATGCAAACATATGCAATGTTCCACAGGAATCGAAGAAATGTCATGAGTTTTGCATCAATATTAATCCGGAAAATGGACGCTTCATTAATTCTACAGAATATCCATGTCAGGAAGGCAACAAGTCATCAATTTCAAAGTTTGTAGATTGGGTTCAAACGATTGTATATAATAAAACGAGCGCAATAATCTTTGGACAAAATGAAAATACAAAAAATCCGGAATTTCATGCTTGGGCTCGACAAATGCTTCAGAATTTGGATGTCGCACTCGCTTTGAACAGCTACAATAGCACTATGACATTGCCAAAGGAACAAACCAGCAATACCGTTCTTTTAAGCCAATGGATCGAATTTCCGAAATCGAATGAAACAACCACCAATCAAGAGGTTGCCTGGCAACTACTAAAAGAGTACCAACAGTACGATGAGAATGTTTCTAATAATCTAATCCGAATTTGCACAACAAATCAAGACATGGCTGAAATTATCTGTACGGAACAGTATTTCCATAATGTATGTCATTTAAGTGATCCAAATGAATGTGTGGATGATATTTTTAATGCACAAAGATCCGTCATTTGTAGACATTTTATGATAGACGATGAAAAAGTTGTGGAAATAACTGAACTACTCTGTGATTCATTGAATGAATCGGTCATTTTCTGGGATTATCAACGTGAAGCATCGGAAAGTGCCACCGGCATTCTCATGTTACAGTTAACTCGTACAACTGTAATGCATTCCATTCCTGTTGCTGCTCTTCAATTAGATCAACATGATAGGAGTGAAAGCGCAAAAGAAAAACGAGGCAACTATAGAAGCGGTGTAAAATTGAAAACTGATGAACAAGCTGGGAAATTTATTAAAGCACCATTTTCGGAACCGTCGGTAGCATTCAGGAAAATTAATCATACATTTGCAACAATCGATTCTACAACAGTGCAGACGTCTAAGCAAACTGATGAAATTGTTCTGACAATATCGGACAACCAATCGGAACTTGATATTGCAACATTAGAAATTGCCCACACTACTACGTCAAATTTAACAATTCCATCGGAAGTAAGGCAAAATTTTGACGTTTTAAACGGTACAACAACAAATATAACGAATTCGAATGATATGAATAAAATCAATACAACCGCTGAAATTCAGAAAACTCGCACTATCAATGGTTAGCTGATTGATGTATTCTTTTCTTGTCCTACAAAATGAAAATTATGCAATTAATTCTTTTTATTCAAACTTCAATTTGAACCGATGGCTTCAAAATAAAACTGACATGCAGTAGCAAACATTTGACATTTTTGATTGCATATGTGTGATAGTACTGGACAGTGTTTTAGCAGGATAATCTCTAACAACGCACTTCTCATTATTTATATCAAAAATATCTTAATTCATAAATCCCAAAGCTGATCTATTTGATGATATTCTTTTTAGATAATTAAATAACAAAACATTCTTTTGGGAAAGAATAATCCTTCACTTAAGCCAACAGTCAAAATCGAAACTTGACAATTTTGAAATAATCACGTGGACATGAAATTGCTATCAATAAAGATTTGAAATAAAAAGTCGAACTAATGGAAAATATATCAATCTGAGATAATTGGAAAGGATATCCTTTCAAAATGACAAATTATTATAGAGAGTTCAAACTCATAAAAGTCGTAATATTGTCTTTATCATAGAAGCAGAAATTAAAATTGAATTTTATCAAACTTTCGGAAATTTAAATTGTGAATCATATTGAATTCTATAAAGATTTCAGATTCTGCAAAAAAAGCAGTAACCAGAAACCACAAGACCAGCTTATTGAAGCACAATAAACAGCCACTCTGTATGTCATTCTCTTCGTTATGTATTCTGCCCTGGGATATACCACAGTTGTGGATTAAATTCAATATCATTTTACTTTTTTTTGTTATTCCACTTTATCAAGATAATTTTTTTTCCCTTAGAATAAAATAAATAGAAACTTAGAGAGTAGAAGAAAATACTTAATAATACAATTTTTATGGTAGAAAATGAAAATTCTGAAAGGAAGATAAATTAAATATTCAGGAAAACAAACTTCATTAATTATTGATACTATGTAGATAATAGGAAATCCAACTTGGATGAACTTTCAAAAGACATACGGAACTATATTAGATTAGAAAGTAGTACTAAAGCACAACGAAAGTATATCCGAATGTTTCAGGTGCCAAATTTTTTAGGTAATCTGAAACACAGAAGATTCGTGATATAGAACACAGATCAAATAATCCGAAACAAAGATTACGTAATGTAGATCATAAAAAATCGATCAAACAGTTTAATAGACAGCAAAGAGATCAAGTAATCTGAAACATGCAAAGGAAAAATCATTTGATTTCAAACAGAACAGAGGTCGACTAATTTGGAAGAGTAAATTGAGTTTAATAAGCGGAACCTCATTCCACCATAATGTCTATCCAATATTCGGACGGACAGTTGTGCTGATTCTCACTTTATTACATTAAAAAAGTGATCATCGCAACTTTTCTTACAGGGAAACCATTCAATATGGATTGCAATATTGAAAAAGATGAATTCAGTGTAACTAATTGTAGCAATTGGGCAGCCGCAGGATATTGTGTTTCGAATAACGCCACGCGATTTCTGTGGTGTCGCAAAACATGCCTCTGTGTCGGACCACCACAGTTATGAAATCCTCTTAACCTTCTCATCTTTCGAATAATTCACAAAATTTAAACTTAACAAAAAATATTCCCGCCTACAGTTCCTGAAAGTGAAAATCTGGATATCTGAAATTCTTTATAGAGGAGTTAGTTTATTCGGATTGTTACGGATGTCGCAATTTTAAATCAATAAATTTATTCAGACGTTTTGTAAACACAAACTCGGCAAAAAAATAACAACATAAAGATACTTAAATATAGCAAGGTTTTCCGCACAGCTTACACTTAGTTTTTACAATTAGAGCTTCAGTCTAATACATGTCAAATAGAGCCAAGTCACTAACAAACTCATCAGAATTTTCTACAATGACTGGGTCCAGCTTTACCATCTTCTTCAACTTGATAACTACTTTCCACACTCTCTTCGTTATTTCCAGTGGAAGAATCATCCAATGAAAAACCGTAAAAAGAACAGCTGATCATATAATAATGCCTATCGCCTGCCTTACAATTCACATATTTCACGAATGGACATACCCCGGGTTCACGAAATACTAAAGCAGCGCTATTTCGTACCGGAGATACCCTTAGCAACTGAAATAAAAAACGCAATATTAGCTAATTTATGTTAGTATGATTTGATTAAAGAAATGGTTTGACGACTAACATTGTAGGTCTTCCATACAAAAAATAACTAGAATAAGCAAAATTCCCAGAAACAAACCTCTTCTTCTTCATCTCTGGTGAAATAGCTTACGAATCCTCCATGCTCATCATCCCACTCATTTGTAAATAAAAAGAGCTAAAAATTTTCAAATTTTATTTTACCCAGCGCAATAACTATGGCTTTTAATTTCTAACTGACGGTAAATAACTTTTTTATTCGACATTCATAAGTGAGAATCACACTGGAAAAAACTAAAACGAAGAAATAAGTTTTTCAACAGCAAAAAAGTTACATTAAAATCCAAACAGCAGCCAAGTTGTTCCGTTTCACCAACAACTTCATCGTCCACCATCGTATAAGAACTTTTTCCAATTCGATATACTGACGAACAACATTCGATACCTGGAAATTTTTTGAAGTTGAAAAAACTCCTTTCAAAAATATTCACAATTGACAAAGAAATCTACAACAGAAACTCCTACCATCATAAAATGTAACACATTTTTCATTTTCATCAACTTTTTTCTTTTTCGTATCTGAAAAAAAAAACCATTAGATCAAAATGGGAACGCACGTTTCAGAACAACATAACCCATACTTATGTTTTACGGAAAATTTAACATGCCGGGTTCACTGCTGCAATCATCAACATAATGCACAGGTAGACCAGTCCATTGTGACAGAAGTAATGTCATTGCCTGGGATCGCACTAAGCGTAAAAGGGAAAGTAGACTGCTGTCTAATAATAGTGCATTTTCTTGTAAACGTTCCAGTTTCCTACAAGAAAGAAAATTTTTTTTTAAAAAGAAAAATACATCTAAAATTACAGAAACTTGAAAAGCTAAAGTTTAAAAAAAGTTAAATCAGAGAAATTTATTAAATTCCAGTCATTACTGCACAGATTAAATACCTTTTGTTAAGCGGTCCAATATCTTCGAAACATGCGCTGTCTAATTCATGTAGAGCTGATTCAAATTTATTCTCCTAAATATTACATTTACTAAACAGCAATGAAAAATAGTTCAACAAAGTGTATGCAACATAAAACCCGATTTCACTGTCCGTTTTTTTTCTTTTTCTACCAAACAATTCCCAAAATTTACACTGTTAGCTCTATGGTCAGGAATCACGTAGAAAAACTTGGAACAATTTGTGGAAATTTCCTTTCCTGTCATATTATTATAATTGCAATATCCGTTCAAAACAAATTGAAAAAATTTGATTTTAATGATAAAAATTTTTTTCTTGTAAATATATCTACATCAAACTTGACAATGTTCATGATTTCATTTTCTGACAAGTAATGCATTTTTTATCTAAAAAAGATAATTGTTTGCATTTCTTATAAACTATGCTTTTCTTTCTGAGCTTTTCCTTTAAATTTTTCATGATTTGTAAAATTAAAAAAAGGGTCATATGAACCGAAATCTATAATACCTATAAAAAATTATACTTGAACACTAATTAATAAAAAATTATAATTTATGTCTCTCATTAAAACATTCCAAATTATTTCATTTACATATAAACATTATAATGAGTGGTTTTCAATATATAAACACTTACGCGAATGAAATCAAATAAAATAATTTCGGAATTCTCTTCGAAAATGGATTGAATTTTCGACTGTTGCAGGGGATCGATATACTCAGGATTAATCCACTCCAGCACTTCCTTGTACTATAATCATATTTCTCGATAATTCAAATGTGTAAGAATTTGGTTAGAAAATTAAAATATGGAAATTTATGAATTGATTTTATTGACAAAATATTAAACTTCATTTCATATTCTAGAACATTGTAGCCGTGTTACAGAGTTCCAAAAACTTTCTGGTCGTAAGTTAATTATTTATAGTAGAGAGTAAAACATTAAACAACTCTAAATGAATTAGAATCCGTCAGAATCCCTTGATTTGCACTGCTTCGTCAAAGTTGCACAATGAATAATTTTAAAACGTTCTAAACGACTCATTCTTTTTGAAATAAAGAAAAAGTAAGGAATTTCATCTATACGAACTCATTAATACTTACAGTAACATTCATATATGATTTCAATTTTCCTTCGAGAGATGACAACTTTAGTTCATCAGAAACGTTACATGCAGTATGATGAAACCAACCATGTAGTGATAGGCGTTCTTTCTGTGAAAGTACCTAAATTCATGAACTAAAAAATTTACGAGTATAAAAGCAAATGATGTAAAATAAGTAGAACAAGAAGTGTAAAGGGAGTCAGCAGAAGGAAATTGAAATAAAGTGTTGTAAAGTAAATTAAAAGCACAAAGTAAAATAAAAGGAAGGAAAATGAAACATTAAGGAAACGAGAGAAAAGAACGAATAAAAGTAAAAACAATATATCAAAAAAATACCTCGGTAACCATATGCCATGATCGCGGTGATACTTCGAATATTATTAGCATGTTTTCTGTTGGATTCATAATTTGGGCAACCGATATGGGATTATTATTATCTGAATGTGACACAACATAATAATACTCAAAAGTAATATATAAGTTCTATAAACAATATATCGATCCTTTTGTTTTGGATATTGTAACAAGATTTTTTGCGAAAATTCTAGAAAATTTCACCATATGATAGTAATAATAATAATATACGTATTCATGAGAAGAGTATGATGAACGACCAACAATATTTAAAATTTCATAAGATAACCTTAAACTTGACATGACTGAATAAATAATTTTGATGATCAAGGGTAAATCCTAATCCAAATTTCTAATCGGAATGTGAAATTATAAATTTCAATAATAATTTTACCATCACAGTCATACAGCAACAACTGTCCACCATCAGTTTCTTTCCAGTTCGGTGTCAAATAAAGTGTGAAAGCAAATTTGCGCCCCTCACACTGATCATCGTGTGGTAAGAGTAAATCGGTGTAATTATAATTACTACTGCTAATTGCTACTTCAGCGTTTAGATCAACACCAGACACATTTCGTAGCCAGTGTAGAACATCGGTCTTAAATAAATCCCTAAAGAAGTAATAGCATCAAATTGAGTTCAGTAATAAACGGTCAAAAACATAGAATATTTTCGAAAAATAAATTCCCCAAAACTAATGAATCCACGCATCGATATACGCACATCGATATCAATATTTTTAAAAAAAATTAATTGATCTGACAATATTCAGCATAAAATCATACCATCACAGTAACTAATACTGATGCACTTGGCCAATTTTGTAAATTTGTCAAGAAATTTAAGATCACTTCTCACAGACTGTAAAATTCAATTTTCTTTCCCGTAAATTTTCAACCTTCATGCCCTTCTCATCGTACAAAATATTAAAACCTTCAGCACTTTAAACATGATATTAGAAGTAAACTTGCCTGAATTTTGTCAACGATGGAAATTTGATGGCGTCAAAGTTCGACAAATCAACTGTTTGGTTCAATGAATAAAGATCACTCTCTTTACGATCATACCGCACCATTTTCAACTCTGATCGTAGATCAGCCACAAACTCCTTACTGGTAAAAAAACCAGGAAGACAAAAATGAGGAAAAGGTTTTGAAAACTGGCTTCTACCTGCAAAAAAGAAAACCAGAAGTTTTATTTTGGGCGACAAAATAAAGAATTAACAATTATTTATCAAAAAGCACAAATGTTTTCAGTATTTATTCTCATTTTTATAAAATAATCGGGATGAATTTTCTCGAACACTCGTGATTTAAAAATTATTTTCAAATAAAATTTTAGATACCGCCTGCGATAAAAGTACAGTCGGAAGTGAAATAGCATCTCAACATGAATGGATAGCGTGGGCTTGAAACATTTCAACTTCTAATATTATACTCTATAAGAACGACAATTCTTACTACAGATCTAAAATCTCGTAAGCTATTTGAAAAATGACCACAGATTCCCAAAAATCCTGTAAGCATAAGAAAATTTTGAAACTTAAATCCAGAAATCTTTCAGACTTCCGCCAAGGAGACCATGGACTTCCATCTGAAATTTCATGGTCTCTCTGGAAATAAGCTAAGTACGATTTCTCAGAAGTTCCTGAACATCTGGGTTTCAAAAAGTTGAAAGAAAGTGATGAGAATGAAAGCACTTTCTCTCTTAAACTTCAGATACTGTATCATAAAAAGGTCATCACTCTCATGGTCCTTTTAAATGAAGTATAATGCAATATCAGTAAAAATTGAAAAGAGTGAGTTCTGATTTCCACGATGCGCTAGCTGAATTTTAAAATTCGAGAAAAAAAATTGGACAACAGTTAAGATATTTAGCTGAAGAAACAAACCGGACAGAGTTTTTCGGAATTCGGTAGCATATTCATCGGTCAAATAAACCGGGTTGATCATATCGGCGCCATACACCATTCCAATTCGGACGTATACCTCCACTTGCGGTATTACTGAATGAAAACTCGAAATCCCCAATCACATCTATCTCTCTCAACGGCCCGCATCTAAAATGCATTTCCTAATCGCTGAAATGTTTGTATTTGTGTTGAGGAATAGAGTGGTTTCGAGGAGGTATTAAAGATTGATGAGATGCAGGAATATTGTGGGCAGGATTGGAAGAAAAGAAAAATGGAATGGTTTAGTGGAGAAACAGAGATTGAAATGAGAGAATATATGCGTAGAGAGTGTGTGAGATCAGCAGGAGAACATGTAGTATGAGGGGACGACAGAGATGAGATTACTGGAAAGAGAGTGTAAGATTATGATGTGTTAGGATAACAAGAAATAATCAACGGTTGAAGGGAGTGAAATCTCTCCCGCAGATCTGGGATTTTTTCCAAGAATTCGGGGAGTAAGAGGTGTAGTACGGAAATGATGGTAGTAATATACCACTTTCATAGTATTTGTTTTAGCAAACCGAGTTTTTTTGAATGAAATGATACAGAGATTTGGAACATAAAACAAATACACTTTTGAAAGTGTACTTGTTCTCTGTTCCAAATCTCTTTAATTTGTTTTTGTTAAGCTATCGAAATGTATGATAGCATCTAATTGTTTTATTTGTTCCGATACATTCCTTTAATTGTTGGTGTTCTGTTGTAATTCTTTGCAATTTTTGACTTTTAATATTTTAAATAATAATTGAATAATTTATTTGGTCAGAAAATACTTCTGTTATTTGTCTATTTGTTACATTTTTATTTTCCTTAAAGAGCGTAAAGTATTAATTTTTCAAATTAAATTCCGTTTTCAATATTTTCAGATTTCTTAATTACTTTCTCATAGTTGACATCGGGATATTCTATATCAACAATGACAAGTAAACAAGAAATGAGAGAATGGAGGGAGTATGATTTGCTTGTATGCAATTGGCATTGTTTTGCATTTTGTTGTAGAGTTAGCGTGCTTTGAGGAAGGTTATTGGTTTGATCTGATTTGGGAGAGCTTTATGGCTATGTGACACAATGGAATCAGTTGGTGAAGGTTATTGGATTTAAACTTGGTTTGATTTGTGTTACAGAATTGGGTTTCTTGAAGAGGAGANTTNATCGTTCTGTTTGATTACGATCTGATAGACTCGGCTTGGATTTGATATTTAGGTCTTGGTTTACAATGTTTGTTCCAAACACTGTTGAATTTGATGTGGTGACT